GAGAGAGATAGAAACATCAATGATGAGAGAGTCACTGATCGGCTGCCTCCTGCACGCCCCCAACTGGGGATCGAGCCCGCAACCCGGGCATGTGCCCTGACCTGGAATCGAGCCCCGATGGCCTGAATCCTAGGTCGATGCTAAACCGCTGAGCTACGCCCAGTCAGGCTCATAGCTCTTTTTAATAGACAATTCCAACTAATTAAAGGAAAACTAAAATTTTAAATCAACAATTTGAAGGAAGTGTTTGCTTTAGCAAAATTTTGAAGAATATTTTTTTGTTTCTTTGAGGAAGGAATGATTGCAAATATTTTCAGGCAAGAAAATGTATTGTGAGGTTATACCATGTACGACTTTGTAGAGTACACAGACTTTAGGCAGATCCATCATCTCAAGGGCCTTACTTGGTTGGAGCCAAATACTGACACACGACGGAGAACAGGAAGGTGCTGTACAATATAAAAGGCACTAAAGAAAGGGAGTTCTTCCTAGCCTGGGGTCAATAAGAATAATTTTAAAGAGGAAGCATTGAGATGGATTTTGGAATGTGGTTAAATTTGCTTTGACAGGATATGAGTTTTAGGGGCTAGAACATGAATTGGGCAGGACTGTGTTGAAGCTGTGGAGGATTTTGAGGGGACACCCAACACTGGGCTCCTGCTAGTCTGAGGACGGGTGAGGTGGATTTGGTTTTTACCTTTGAAAGGTGTGGGGTGTTGGGTTTTTTTAATTTTAATCATAGCAGTACATATATATGTATGCATAGCTATATATGTGTACGTGTGTGTATGTGTATATATACATATATAGCTTAACATATGTATATGTAATTTTTAACATATATATGTATATATATATATAGTTTAAAATTTTAAATAGTTCTATAAGGCTTACGGCTTACAATAAAAAGCAGCAGGCCGTGGCCAGGTAACTCAGTTGGTCAGTTGGTTAGAGCATTGTTCCGATATGTCAAGGTTGAAGGTTTGATCCCTGGTCAGGGCACATACAAGAATCAACCAATGAATGCATAAATCAGTGGAACAACAAATCAATGTTTTTCTCAAATCAATAATTTTTTTTTTTTAAGTGCAACAGTCCCCCACACCTGTCCCTTTTATTGTCTCTAGCTGAGTTACTATGGCCTAGTTTTTTTAGCTGTTTCTTCTGGTACTTAATGTGCTTATGCTATAATTTTTTCATTATCAAATTTAGACATTATATAGAAGGTTTTGAGTGATTAGTGATTCAGAGCCTTTCGTTCATTTTACACTGGGGAGGATTGTGATGAGGGTGGGTCTTTTAGTTCATCAGAAACTAATGTGTTCTCTCCTTTTCAAAGGATTTAGCACACAGTAGATTTCCATTTCATCATGGTTTTGTGATATATTATCATAGAAACCGGTACGTTTGATTTGCTGATATTTGGAATTTTTGCATTTATGATAATGACTGAGATGGCCTTTAGTTTACCTTTCTCGAATGGTTTGATTTTTGGTGTGGAGATAATACTTGCTTCCTGGCAGTTTGGGCAATGTCCCCTCTTTTTATAAAAAATTACCGGGTCTGCCCAAATAATTTTTTAAAATGCACTAACACGTTTAAAGATTATCATTAGATTTTGAAGTCCCCCATGAACCTCTTCCTAACTCTATTCTCTTATCTCCTCCCTCAGATATAACTGCTTATCAAATTATTATTCTCTTTAACATTTTAATTCTTATTTCTGTCACTAACCAATATACCATTGAGTTTTGCATGGCTTTCATCTTTGCATGTAGCTATAATCTGTCCATCTTCATGGCTGTGTAATATTCATGGTTCTATGTGTCTATCATAATTTATCCTCCTATTTGAGAACACTTTGATGGTTGCCAAGTTTTTGCTATTATAGCATTTGCTGTAAACATTGTCAACCAGGTCTTCTAGAACACGTGTAAAGTTTCTCCAGGGCAATGACTTTCAAACTTTTTTGACCCCAACACAATTAGAGATGCATTTTACATTGCAACCCAGTGCACACATAGATAAGTGTATTTGCAAGCATTGTGGCTGGACATAAAATTCCACATTAGAAATCATTTCCTTCCAATTTTAAAAGTATTTCTCTGTCACCTTCACAATTCCTGTGTTGCTGTTGAGCATGAAACCATGTTGATTCCTGTTGCCGCACATGTGGTTTCTTTGTTTCCTGTCGGGAAGCTTGGAGAGTCTTCTGTTTGTCACAAGTGTTCTAAAATTTCATCGAGATGGGTCTTATGGGTCTGGTTTCACCCATTGTGCTAGAAACTTGGTAGCTCTTTTAGTCTGTTGACACATGTCCTTGAAAATGCGAAAAATTTCATGAATTATATTTTCAATTTGTCCCTTCCATTTTTCTGAGGTTTTTTTCCCTTATAGAAGTCCTTTTTGCATATTATACACTCTTGGGCCTGACTTCTAATTCATACCCTTTTTTTTTTCTTCCTACTTTCTATCTTTGTGTTTTTACTCCACTTAGAAAAATTTCTTCAACCTTCCCCTTCTGCCCATTCTAATGAGGTTTCCACATCTGCTATTGTGTTTTTTTTTAATTTCCAAGGACTGTTTTTTTCCCCCTAATGCTTTTTTCTGTATATGTAACATCCTGTTTTCATTTGATGAAATTACTATTTCTCTGAAAGCATGAAGGAGGACATTTTGTTATTTTGGAGTTTTCTTCTCTTTTGCTCACTGTCTTATCTGTTAGTTTTCCTCAGATGTTTGGAAACCCTTAGTTGCTTCTCATAAGGAATTGGAATCTTAAAAGATTTTTGGAAGCTTGGACTGTGTTAACTTGGATTTCACTATGGGTGATCTGGGTGGCTTGTTTGATCATACCTCTGATGTCACCAGATTTAGAACTTTACTTTTTGGCTGATCAGATTGCTCATAGAAGAATCTAGATAAACTACCAAGAGGATCCAGGTCTGGCTGCCAGGGTTCTTGGAGCCACGTGGGGGCAGAGAGCTGGAAAAGGGAGGGCGTCTCTGTGCGTAGCATTGGTTATATGTATGTACTATCTCTAATTCCCTAGTGCTGCTAGAGGTTTTGTAAAATGTCCAAACCCTCACCTGGTCTTGTCCTCTGTTCCAAGGCATTTCCTGTTTGGTTCTTGCAGTAACCTATCAGGTGGGGGAGGGGCAGCCTCTGGGCCGAGAGGAGGGAGGGAGTTAACTTGATGCTGCTCCAGGCCTCAGCCCACCCTCCCAGTTCTGGAGGAATTTGGTGCTTTTAACTTGCCCTTTTCATTTTTCCACTACTACCTTGATTTGGCCTTTTCTGTGCTGCTAACACTTTATTACTTACCCATCTATTTTCCAGCCTCCAAAAAGTTTATTGCTGTGTCTGGTTTTTCCCATACTCAGGGATTTTTTTCTTTCCTCTCAAAAATCCCTTTGCTTTCTTTTTACGGGATATGGGGGAAAGTGAAGTTAGATGCTTCCGTTCAGTCTGATTCCTTGACCCAGAGGTCACTTTTCATTCTCTTATATATGTCTTCTTTTAAATTTATCTTTATTGTTGAAAATATTACACATGTCCCCCTTTTACTCCCCCATTGACTGCTTCCTCCCCGCTCCCACCCTCTATTATATATGTCTTTAATTAACAGAAGGTCTTTGTTTTATAATAGTCAAATATTTAACCAGGTCAATACATATTTTCATCTGGTTTATGAACTTGCCCACTGTGACGTCATAAAGATTGCCTTGCAGTGCCTCCTGTAAGTTGCCTGGCTTTCGCATTTAAGCATGAAAGACCATCCTCCCTGCTGCTGCAATGACAGTGCTGCCACCATCACCTGGTGGCACTGCACAGCTTTAGCATAGTTCTCACACAGTGAGAAGTTCTCATCTTGGTCTTTGTGCTTTGAAGTCAGAGCTGGGTATCAATTCTAGCTCTGCCTCTAAATAGCTTCCGCCTGTGAAACAGGCGTTGCCAGTTGATTGACTTGGAGAGAAGATACTTAAAGAAGCACTAGTAAACTACAGATTGCATTTTCTGAGTCAGTTGCTTTCTAATCAGCTCTTTTGCATCAGGGGTACAAAAGGAAATGCTGCTATTCTGGATTATCAGAAAGACTGGGGAGAAGAGAACTATTTTTAAATAGAACTGATGTTTACATCTTAAAAAGGAGGGTGGGGGGCTCTTGTAATATGGATGTCCTAGGCATTCTGTAAACAAATTCTTCTAAATAGTTTAAGTCAGACTGGTCTTAAGTAAATCATGAAATTACCCTATTTTATGTGTTTTGTGTTTGTTTCATCATAGGATATATGATTGGATGCCTGAACAGCCAAATATATTCCAAGTGGAGCAGTTGGAACGCCTGAAGCAAGAATTGCCAGAGCTTAAGAGCTGCTTGTGTCCCACTGTTAGCCACTTTACTCCTTCACCTTTGTGTGCAGAGCCTGGTATCCACATGGATGCCAATGGCATTGATAATATGGACAGCGCTTAGCTTGTATCGGGCAGAGGCCATTTGGGGGCACGCACTGCTCTTCTGGGTATTACTTTTCATGAGCATTGTTTATCTATGCCTTTTAGGTTTCTCAGTCCAATGAAGCAATAATGAAGTATTTTACTGTTTCACTACAGTTCTTGCTAGAATTTCAAATAGGCTATTTAAATCACTTGGCCAGGTATAATTACCAGTCAGCCTCTTTACAATGAGAAAATTTATTGGTTGGTAAATATTTTAAACTATATATGTAAACGGATAATGTTAATTAAACAATGTCCATTAAAAGCATAGCACTTTGAAATTAACTGTATAAATATCTCAGTTCTTCATTCAATCAGGTCTGCAATATTTAGCACTTGAGGAACATGACTATGCATAATTATACCTGACCATGGGAAAAACAAGTACCTCAAATGCATGCATTTGCACTGGTGATTCCAACTGCACAAATCTTTGTGCCATCTGTGTATATATGTATTTTTTACATGGATTGACATGCACATATACCATTTTCATTCAGTATGAACCTTGAGGCTGCTGCCATTTTCCCGTTTAACCAAACCAATGCCTGTGTAAACAGCCTAGAGGTGATCCCTGAAAACTTGTTTCAAAAGTTGTTTTCCATAAATATTAAAAATGCTGCAGGGTAATTTAATGTATAAAATATTAGAAGAAGTATGTATTGCATACTTAGTAGATCATTATGTATAAATTCTATTCAGTGCATGCTTTAGGTTTTAAGCATGAGATTGTACACGTTTACCGCAAGTCCTTGCATCTGTGGTGCTAGGTGAGTGTGAGAAGGTGTCAAGGACTGAAAATATTTTGTTGCCTAAAAAAAAAAAAAGCCTGTTTGCAGGCATTTTAAATATGTTTATTTTAAGTCTCTCTCACTACCTATCACGCACCGTTGCTTTATGGGTTTGTTTTGTGTGTGTGTTGTACAGTAGTTAAATCTCCATGCAGAAAAATAAATGTCCTGAATTCTCATATTAGTATCTTTATTGGTTAATGTATATCATGCATGTAATTTATTTAGCAATGTCGAAGATCTGACTAAATGTATATGCATGTTTTGAGGGTTATGCTAAGGTTTCTTTCATTAGAAGCATATTGTCTTTGGCATAACTGTAATTTAAAAGAATGTTAAATAAAATACACAGATTTATTTTCTTCATTATAAAATGAAATTGCAAGAAGGTGTTACTTTTGTAGACTTGGTTCTATAATGTTATTATGAGAAATTGGGATTTAGAGTCTACCCTAAAGGGATGGCTTATTTCCACCTACCTTTTACTGTGTGTTCTTCACGAGACAGCTTGTTCACGTATTGGCCTATTTTGGTCGTAGCTGAGAACCTAAGACTAGGAATTACACGTTGTGTCTTTTTATCTTTTAAGCCGAGTGATGCACTCTTGGTCAGATCATAATTGTGTGACGATAATGATAGGCTTTGAAATCCTGTGGTATTGTGTTGGTAGCACTGATATGGAATGGAAAAGAGTTTTGGAAGTGGAGCCTTCTGCCAGGGCCCCCTGTGTCACCCACTGAGTGGGATTGTCTAACCCTTGGTGCCCAGTAGGCACCTTTAGGAAACGCCCGTCTGCAGAGCTGTATAGTGCGGTTACCGTTACCTCGCGGTGACCTGATCGGCCAGATATGCGCACCCCTGGTCTGCTCCTTGGCGCCTCCCTGTTCCTTCCACGGCCCAGCTCCGTTTTGAAAACTTGCGATCATAAGGGAAGGAAGGGGAAAGAGGAGAGGAGGCGGTGCAGACGGCTTCCTGAGCAGGGCAGTCCGCCGAGGAGCGTGTAAGCCTCACTGCTCCCTTTCCCGAAGGCGATTAGAGCACAGCAAGCGTTTTCCTGGGGCTGAGTCCAGGCCCACTAAGTCCAGGTGTCACTTGTCTCTGCCTGTCCACTCCGCTCCGGCCGCACTACCTGTGCTGGGCCCTGGCATGCAACGCGCCCTGTCTGTAGCCATATGCCCTCTGCTTCTTGCCAAATTCATTTCTCCTTGAGCCATCCGCCTCTCTGCCCTGAGCCGGGTGACTCTGTCCTCTGTACGCCGGGCCGTATGGCATGCCTTGGTCATATGCACCACAGGGCATCCGGGGTAGGCAGAGTTGATCAGGATGCCGACCCTTCAGGGGCAGGGGGCTTGTCTTACTCATTTTTATTTCCACAGTAAATGGAACAGAGTAGAAAATAAGTGTTGGAATTACTGAGATAATATAATTTGTATCAAATGTCCTTTTGAATTAAGAGATTTAGTTATATTTACTAAGAATGTAACCTTTGAATTGGTTTACATTTTGACAACTGGAACAGCTTATTGATGTCACAGCGGTATAATGTTAAACTCTATATTTTCTGGAAGTTGAGTGAAATGTTTGCTAAAATGCTGCCGTTCTTGGTGTTTTCTCCAGTCTGGAATTATGTGCAGTAACTGGCCGGGTGTAAGTGTGAGGACCCCGGCTCACGTCTGTGGGCAGCGCCTGGGGCTGCAGGGCCACCCCTGCACCTCCCGCCCGTCGTCCGCACGAAGCCCGTCTTCTCCCCACAGGCCCCATGCCTCCGCCTGCCTCAGCCCCTTGTCCCTGTGGGGAAGGCCTCCTCTGCCTTCCTTCCGTGTCCAGCTCAGGTGCCACCTACTCCGTAACACTTTCCTCAGCTTTTACCCAGAATCAGGATGCAAACAAATGCAGACAGCCTCTAAACCTCACCACTTCATTCCGCAGCCGAGGGAGTAAACCCAGAGGAGTTAACTGACCACGTTGGGACTCGAACTGGGTTTGTGACTTCGCTGTTCTTAAACTATGCTGCCTTCTGAATTCTCGTGGCGTTTGTCAGCATATGCTTTCTAAAGCCCGCCTTTTTATGTGCCTGTCTTATTTCCCTAATAAGATTGTAAGCCCCTTAAGGGCAGGATTTCTCTGCATCTCTAGCACTACTGTAGTGTTCTACCTAGTTATGAACTAGATAAATAAATGGCGGTGGCCACAACCCTAGTTTCTTAATTCAGATTGCTTCACAGTATGCATACAATTTGGTGTGGCATGCTTGGCCATATTGTCGTGTGTGTGCCCACGTGTGCATGTTTGTTCATGTGTCTGCATGTGTGCACATAGAGTTCTTATTCCGCTCTGGTTGGTCGAGCGCATATATTTGATGGGTTGCTGTCAACCAGTTTTCTACTTTGTGCTGAATGAGGACATGGCTGGGAATAAGTGAGGACAGTGTGGGAATAAGGTATGGCTTTCCCCAGGCCCTGTTGCCCCTTCCGGAAAGTGCTGCCTTGGATATGACTTGTGTGACCTGTGGGTGGCTGTCTCGTGAGTTCTGATGGGCCGTCATCGCCCTTTGTGCCTTGGCGCTTTCTCTTCACGGCTTGCTAGCATTTTGTTCACGCTGTGACTAGTTTGGTATTCTAGGTGGACAGTGGGGTCCTGTTCATTTAATTTCGATATAACTGATTTACTCTTGCATTTTAGGTTTGGATCATGTACTTCTGGTGTAGAAAGCAAAGTATATTAGAAATATTGCATTGTTTGGTGTTCATGTGTGGCAATTCATTCAAGTATAATCTCTCAGTGGGTTTGTATTAGTTTGAGAAATAGATTTGAATGTTTAAAATGCAAGAGAGCATATGATTAAGACCATATGAGGGCGTTGGAGGCAAGGAGAGATCCGGGGGTGGTACAAACTCTTCACCGACCTCTCAAGCTCTTAGAGGGTGGGGTAGAGGTCAGAGTTCCTGCGAGGCCAGTTTGGGGCACGGCCTTTGTGACCTGAGAGACCAGGGTCGTTTTCATGGTGTGTTCAGGGAAGATGGAGCCATGCCAACAATGGAGAGGTATTTAAACCCCAGAGGCTTTGCATCCTTGTAGAAGATAGAAGTTTATTAATGATTTTAAAGGGAAATGACATTAAAATAAAAATGTATTTTAAAATAGTAAAGAAAGCATTAGTGGAGGGATAATCAAAGAGGTTAAATTATCTAATCCTATACCAAACTGATCCAAACATACTTCTACCTGTTTCCTTAGAAAACAGAAATGGTGGAATGGGTGCACTTTTGAAACCTGCTTGCAAAGCCAAACTATATAATTTCACAGGAAGAAATCTAAAAGCCTAGTAAAAGTTCTGTGGCACCCCATGGCTTTAAATGTATCCCTGTAGCCCAGAGCACTCCCCAGGCTCCAGATTCACACATCCGGCTGCCTGTCCATCTCTTCTTAGAGGCCTAATGGGCGTCTCACATTTAATGCACCTCAGCTAAGCGCGCTCTCCGTCCACTGCTCCCAGCCACCTCCCGCAGTGTCCTGCGTCTCAGGAACTGGCACCTAGGAGTTTTCCGTGATTTTCCCCTTACTCAAAACGTACGAGTAGTGCAACGTTATATTATATGTGATAGCTAAACTGCCCATTTGTTCTTTTGATTTTAAAACTTTGTTTTTCCACATTTTGTTCTTGTTGTTTAATAATATGAGACTCGAGAAACAAGATGGCGGCGTTAGGGAACAGCTGCACCCGCCGCCTCCCGCAACCACATCAAAATCACAACTAAAATACAGAACCACCATCACTCAGAGCCTCCTGAAATCCAGCTGCACAGAAGCCCCACAACCAGGGAACTAGAACCACCGAGACCAGGAGGAGGGGCGGAGACGCGGGCGGATCGGGGCTGAATCGCAGAGACGGGGCCGCGGGCCCACACCCAGTGCCGCGGGGTAAACCCGGGAGGGAATCTCCCCAGCGGAGGTTTCCCAGGGGAGGGAGGGGTCCCAGCCCCACAGCAGCCCCCAGCCCAGGGCTCCAGGGCCGGGAAGAGACGTCCCCACAACTCCGGGCTGTGAAACCAGCGGGGACTGTCCCTGAGGGTCGCGGAGGCTGCGGGAGCCCCAGCAGCTCCTCTAAAGCGCCACGCACGGACTCGGACGCTCCCTCTGAGCCCAGCGCCGGGCAGCAGCCTGAAAGGACCCGGGACACTCGGGGAGGAACTGACCTGCCTGAGATCCGGGCGAGAGGTGGAGGG